TCCGGTCTCTGTACGGCTGCAGTAGGAGCTGTGTCCGCATTCTCGGCAATAAGTCAGACACGTTCCCGGTGGGTGTTGGCCTCCGCCAGGGCTGCCCTTTGTCACCGGTCCTGTTTGTGATTTTCATGGACAGGATATCTAGGCGCAGCATGGGGGCGGAGAACGTCAGTCTCGGGGGTCTCGGGATCGCTTCTCTGCTATTTGCAGATGATGTGGTCCTGTTAGCCTCCTCGGATTGTGACCTCCAGCATTCACTGGGGCGGTTTGCAGCCGAGTGTGAAGCGGCGGGGATGAGAGTTAGCACCTTCAAATCTGAGGCCATGGTTCTCTGCCGGAAACCGGTGGATTGCTCCCTCCAGGTGGGGACGGAGTGCCTACCTCAAGCGAAGGAGTTCAAGTATCTCGGGGTCTTGTTCACGAGTGAGGGTAAGATGGAGCGGGAGATCGACAGACGGATCGGTGCAGCTGCAGCAGTAAAGCAGGCGCTGCACCGGACCGTCTTGGTGAAGAGGGAGCTGAGCCGGAAGGCAAAGCTCTCAATTTACCACTCGGTCTACGTTCCTACCCTCACCTATGGTCACGAACTCTGGGTCGTGACCGAAAGGACAAGGTCGCGGCTACAAGCGGCCGAAATGAGTTTCCTCCGTAGGGTGGCCGGGCTCAGCCTTAGAGATAGGGTAAGGAGCTCAGTCATCAGGAGGGAGCTTGGAGTAGAGCCGCTACTCCTTCGCGTCGAAAGGAGTCAGCTGAGGTGGTTCGGGCATCTAATTAGGATGCCTCCTGGACGCCTCCCACTGGAGGTTTTCCAGGCACGTCCAACTGGGAAGAGACCCCGGGGAAGACCCAGAACACGCTGGAGAGATTACATCTCCCAGCTGGCCTGGGAATGCCTCGGGATCCCCCAGAATGAGCTGGAACATGTTGCCGGTGAGAGGGAGGTCTGGGTCGGCCTGCTTGACCTGCTGCCACCGCGACCCGACCCCGGATAAGCGGTGGAAAATGGATGGATGGATGGATGGAGTTTATCGTTTGGTTATTGGTCCCTGTTCGCAGGGTGGTGCCCCGTTATTATTAATAATCATTAATAATTGTTACTGACATTAATAATTCTATTGAATTGAATTCTATTCTATTTAGTTTCTTAGATGCTGATAACCCAAACACGCTCCTTTACGTTCCCAACATATTGCTGATAACCCATGTCAGGCTATGTTATTCCCAACAACTGACACGATGGCTAGCCTCATTGAACACTATGGCCAGCCTCACCAGTTAGCTCTCAGAAAAATCGCTGACCTAATGGATGCCCCGAACATCGCACGTGGAGACACCTGTGGGTTCAAGCAGTTCGCACTGCGATTGAGAGCACTGGTTGGTATGTTAGATCAGCTTGGGGACAGTGGACATGCTGAGCTCCACTGTGGGTCACATGTGACACGGCTGTTGTCCAAGCTGCCTCAGGATATGCGGGCTGAGTTCAAGATGTTCATGTACCCCATGCGTGTTACCATCCCAGCCTCTTGCACTTTTCAGACTGGCTCGACAATGAGCTGAAGATTCAAGAGACACTAGCTGTGTCTCAATTCAGGGGCTGCATCCTTCGGAAGACCCAGCCTTTCGCGGTCTACGTGGGATGCGTCCTTTGAGGACCGCGAAGGCTGGACCGTGCGGTCTACGAAATGAGACGGCCTACGCTACAGAGGACTTCCCAGTTGCTAATAACTTGGTTGCCTCGACTCTGTGGCACAGACTCATCGCTCTGACGCCACCAGGAGGCCTCATAGCCGAGATACAGAGGTCTGTCGTGGACTTCTTCTGGTCTGGCCGGCACTGGATTCGTGCAACAGCTCTCTATCTGCCTGTGGCAGAGGGGGGGCAGGGTCTCATCGATATCCAGTCCAGGATCGCCTCTTTCAGACTCCGGACTGCACAGAAGCTGCTCTATGGCTGTGTTCCCAGCTGGATGGACACTGCTCGACTGCTGCTGAGGAGAGCTGGACGGTTGGGATATGATAAGCAGCTTTTTCTCCTACAACCTGAGAAAGTGGACTTGGCCGGGCTGACGCCGTTCTATGGCTCTGTTCTGCAGGCGTGGCAGGTTTTTAACATCTCATGTGAAGTTGATGAGACTCCGGGCGTGTGGCTGCTGGAGGAACCTTTGTTTTTCAACAGCTTCATAAGGACTCAAACGCTGCAGTCTGCTAGCATGCGAATGTGTCTGAGAGAAGCCGGCTGCACTAAACTGGGACATTTGGTGAAGCTGTATCATCCATGGTCACCTTCAGGCAGAACACCAACATCACGTCTGTCAGGTTGACCTACAGAATAGTGGAGGAGGTCTGTGCCGCCCTGCCACAACACCTGAGAGCATTTGCAGGAAACTGTACTCTGTCTGGCCAGTGGGATGACAACGGACAGCAGACCTCCAGTGGATGGTTGTACATGGGGCAATAGCCACAAATAGATACCGAGCACACCTGGATCCACACATTAGGGAGGAGTGTTATTTCTGCTGTCAGGCTGAGACCCTGGAACACTTGTTTGTTCAGTGTCCACAGCTGTCAGCACTCTTTGACCGCTTAAAGGGATGGTTTCAGGGTGTTGGAGAGGACTTTTCTTTCATTTTATTTATTTTCGGTCCAAAATACTGCACAAAAAAGAAGGCTGTCCACACACTGGTGAACTTTTTGTCTGGTTCTGCCAAGTTGGCCATCTGGCTGACACGGAAGAATCGGGCTTAGGGTGCCGGTAGTGAGGATCCGGTGAAAATTCTGGAGGGACTGTTGAAACCCCGACTCAGGGTGGAACACGCCTACTACCAGATGGTGGACAATGTACAGGCTTTCAGGGACAGATGGACTACTGGGAGCATTTTATGCTCAGTGGGTGCTGGTGGAGAGCTGGTGGTTAACTTTTGAACATATTGATCATTGTGATTGATTGTTTATTTGTTCTTTAGTGCTTTAATTTGGTTATTTAATTTGATTGATTTTTTGCTGTTCAAGCGGTGTTTTAGAGTGTTTTCCGTTTTCACTGCAATAGTGAAATAAAGGGACTTTTAAACCTCAAACCTCTCTCTATCTCTCTCTCTCTCTGTCCTATCCTGTGAATGCTGACGGTGCATCTTACTATCCTTTGCTGCACGTCACCGCTCACAATCCCCATAATCAATGCTATTAATAGCCAATAAGCGATCACAGTGATCGACAGCACTGCCAACTGACACATTGGTTGTGTTAAAGTCTGGTTCATTCATATGTAAGGAAAGCAAACAGAATGAAGGCAAGCCTATATGAAAAGTAAAGGTACTCATTAAAGGGACCGTTAATGCTACATTACATTATTGTATCAATGCTCGCCTGGGAGTTTATTTTGTGTAGCCTATGTAGTTTTCTTTTTTGCTTATTGGAGCGACAGTAACAGATCATAATAAGTAGAGGATACGTGCGAAATATCGCCCCTCTGAACGCAGAATGGTGAACGATGAGACTGCTAGTCACTCCTAACAGCTGAATTCAGCACGCCTAAAGAAAAGCTCATATCACGTCTTCTAGTAAACCGTTTGACTCTCTCGAGGTAGACTGCCGTGAGCGCGCGCTGAAGATGCAATTGGCGTAATGTATCAGATCCGCGTCAGAGAGAGAACGTGGATTAAATGTGTTTTGGTTTGAATGTTTGAACCTTACTCATTGTAAAATACAAATAACACATCATACACATTGACGACATATTGTTAGGCGCTTCGCGCGCGCACAGTTGTGTCATCACTGGTTTGAGAGACTGCGGTAAAGCCGGCTGCTCGTTCGCGAGCTATGATGGAAACTTTAATTCATCTGAATGAGTTTATGGATTTGTGTGAGCCGGTGTGACAGAGGGACCCGGGTAACCGATACAGGGATTCATCTCACTATAGACGGTCTAAGCCATCCATCCATCCACCCGTCCACCTGTCCGTCTCGGGGAAGGAGAAGCGCAGCCTCTCGTTATGCTGTCTCTCTGGAAACAAGGACACTTCGTCCAGTGTTACGCACGGCTGTGAAACGACCAGTCGAACACTATAGAAGCCTCTCTTTCTTTCACATGGGCGAAGACGAGGAGGGGTCCTGCGCCCAGACTCACCGCGGAGGAAACGAAGCAAACGGAGACACCGGAGCGTCTCTGGACCCGGACGGAGAGAGGAGATATGCAGAGCTGTTCAAGCAGCTGGACTTGAATAAAGATGGCAGGGTTGACATCAACGAACTGAGGACCGGACTGGCAGCTCGTGGTTTACACCAGGGAGAGGCGGAGGAGGTGAGGAGACGACCGGTGTTAGAGCGTGAGACATGCTGAGAGCAACTCACTCACGGTCCCACTCACAGCTGCTTTATTGCTGAATTCATGTTTCATATATAAAACATATGAACTATTTTGTATAGGCCTTAGGAGTCACACAGAGGCAGATGATTTGCTAATGATGAAGGATGATTAAGAGGCACCTGTGTTTGTTTATCATATCATCTGATCTGTTAGTGAAGTATCAGTGTGCTACACTAATAATCAATACAGTAGCCTTTACTGTCAGCACTATGGTGCTGACAGTAAGCATATATGCTTCAAGTAACATTCAGAAGAGACAACTGCCTTTTAAAAGTGTGAGCTTGACATCTAAACTTAACAGAAAAAAGTCACATTGAATATTGTTCTAAAATATAACTATCTCTGCCATTCAAATCCAAATTATCTTAAAAATAGAGCAATCCACTTTGTTGTCAGATGCCATAGCAACAGTGTTCTCACAAGTTTACCACCTGAGTTCCAAAGGAGCACATTGTGAGCTCCACTTCATTTGACCATACATTCAGTTTAAAGTGTCTCTGTCCGTTTGACAGAAATGACCACTGTGTCTTTATGATATGAGTTTAGCCATTATGTAATAATAACATTCCGAGGTCATTTGGTCAATAGTTCCATTCCAGTCTTTCGGCTCTTGCTTCAAAATTTCAAACCAAGTTTAATTTTCTTCCCAAACAGGATCTCAACGTGTCAGCAGTCTTTCTGCACAGGCTGAGATGTGATCCCAGGCAGTGGACGTTGTGTGCAAGTCTATTGATGAACGTAAAAGAGAAAAAGGATGAAAGGTTAAAGCGATTGAAAATGTGCATGACAACTTAAAGTTGTTATAAGACACAGGGAAAAGGGAAAATGGCGACTTAGATCCCAAATTGTATCATTTAGATTGATCTCATAATTTTGTCTTGTTATCAAAAATAGACTCAGTGTCTCATGATGACTTCCTATCTCATATTTTCTACCTTCTAAAACTTTGGACTAGAGTCGTATACTTAAAGAACTATTTATTTTGAAGTGTTACTGTCTCAGGCAAAAGTTCGACCTCATCATTTTGATCTGAAAATCGCTACATTTTGACTTATAGTATTTTATATTATCAGTATATGGTATGACATTAGAACACCCCCACAGACTACAGTAGGTAACTCTTCTGCCTTTAAATAGTAATAGTACCATAAAACAGTGTCATTTCATGTCATTAATCAACCTCTTGCAGTTCAATCGCTACTTTGTGTGGCCTAGTTATGACACCATATAAAGACAACCTGTCCCAGTTTGCAGTGGAATCTAAGCCTTTGTGAATGAATATTTTAACAGTGTCTCTGCTACACCTCTGGCTCTCACGTCACTTTACTGTGATCTTCTTGTTTTCGTCCAAAGCAGAAAGTTATTTGAATGGTTATGAAGATTGATGCATAATTCTTTCTAGCACAAACTCTTACACACACCACCCAGAAGAGAGACAATCAGGATCTGTAGACCTCACCGCCTGTAATCTGGAGTTTACCATTGTAGGTTCCACTGGGTTTTACAAACCAAGACCTTTCACATATGCATCATTAAAGTGTAACTTCACCCCCAGGTCTCCGGCTAAGTCCACCCACTGCATCATTTTGAAAAATGCAAAAAAATGGCTAGGGACTGGGGGATGAAACCACGGCCAACTCCATATCAGTCCAGCCTCCAAGCGGCGTCGACTAACATGACAGCTACAGTAGAGGTGGGGGGGGGGGCTCTTTTTACTGACTCAGTAAGTTTGTACCAGTCCCTCACTAAAGAGAGTCATCCAGTGATTGAACTGCCCAAAACACTGCAGCATTAAACAACTTCAACCAACTCTGAGGTAAAGAAAATAACTGTTGGATTTCATCATTTACTAATAAACCACCTAAAAGGGACATTTAAATTCATTGACGGTTAATGTGTCATGGACCTCTGGCTGAGTGAATGAATGATTTGCGCAACCTTCAGCTCAGGGAGAGCGAGTACTGAGTTGAAACAAGCGCTACAGTGACTGCTTTTCTCACAGCCAGGCTAGTAGTAGAAGGTATTGGAGAGTCGAGGGTGACCATATATTCAAACCGGAAGCCTTACGTGTACTGCAGGTTCATGCATGTGCATAGAAGTGCTATGAAAACCGAAAACGTAGTCTTGCAGTGTGTGTAGAACGCAGTATTTCATTGCTGGGTACTTTACAAAGGATGGATTAAGCCTCCGTTTTTTATTTATTTTTTTTTTTTTTTGAAAAGACAGACTCTCTCTCCCGGGCTGGGGGGCCTTCTGGTTGAATGTTCTCCCCGTGTCAGCTTTGGTTTTCTTTGGGTTCTCCAGCTTCCTCCCACAATCCAAAGACATGCAGCTTAGGTTCATTGATGACTCTAAATTGCCCGTAGGTGTGGATGTGAGTGCGATTGGTTTTCTCTATCTAGCCCTGTGATAGTCCGGAGCCCTGTCCTGGGTGAACCCTGCCTTCGCCCAGTGTCAGCCCTCCTCCCCCCGTGACCCTGAACAGGATAAGTCGTTAAAGATAATGGATGGATGGCTTCCAAAATAACCCATATGTGCATTTTCTGATCTACCAACACTTTGAATACAGATGCAATGCAAGTGGGTTTTCTTTGCATCTCTTCACAGATAGCCTGCAAGAGAGGCCTTAGAGAGATACTAGCAGAACTACACAAAACTGTGGAGATGAATGTGAGGAGGTTGTTAGACATGAACGCCCTGGAAAAATAAGGTCTAGCCAAACTTAATTCACTTCACAGAAGGGTCCTCATTCCAATGTCTAAAAATCCAACTGGTTCTCACTAGTTTAGAAGTACAAAGAGCATACACAGCGGCGTAAAGGGTCATTAGCTGAAAAAAGTCCTTTGACTGTTGAGGGCTCTTGTGTTCAAAAGTGCTTAGTGGCCAACAAGTGTTGCCAGCAACCTAGACAAAGTACCTGAAGGAAAACTGAGCTCCAACTGCAGGACATTTTTATACATCTGTGCCAAAACCATATTCATTATTCCTTGGTCTGTGGCCCATCCCTCCACTGAAGTCGGTTGACAAGTTTCTCGGTAACCTGGTAACAAATAGACAGACACAAAGAACACATGTCCTCATCACTGTTTTTGTTCCTCAGTCAGATCATATCCAGTTTTAATCTGGTGATGCTTTATATTACACTTCCATAATTTCCAAGACATTTTACATTTCATCAGAAGTAACGAGCACAGGAAACTAAAAAAAATGGATTCACTATGCAAGTTTCGAAAAAAATAAAAATAAAAACAATTACAAAGATGGATGATAATAGCAACATAAAATTTAGAAAATTAAAAATATGTATTACTGATGTCATGTTACATATTTTGTTGGTGATGAAGACTCTTAAAACATTACTTCACTCAAAGCATAGAAGAGTAACAGTATGCGAGTGCGTTTTTCCACTAGAACTAGCTGTAACGGGTGTGGTATGGACCCAGAAGCAGTATGACGGACACACAGAATAGTTGGAACGAAACTTTATTCCAGGCAGAACACACAACAGGCAAACAGTCTTGGATCTGCACACATGTCCAGTGGAACGCCAAGCCGTCAGGGGAGAAGGCAGACAGAAACCAGAGGAAGCAGAGGCAGAATCTCGTGGTCGGGGACAGAAGGCTGAGTCGTTTACCGGGGCCGAGGCAAGGCGGAGAAGTCCAAACAGGCAGGGTCGGCAACGGGAAAACAGTCTGAGGGTAAACGTGGGAAAGTCTGGCATAATGCAGAGAACGATCTGGCAGTGAGTCTGTGTGAGACTGGGGTCTAAATAGTAGGTGCTGCAGAGTGAGCAGGTGAGAGTGATGAGCTGATGAGGCGGGTGTGACTAACAGGTGCACTGAATGAGCTGATTAGGTGAGTGAGCGATAGAGTGGCAGGAGAGAAGGGGCGGAGTTGTGACACTAGTCTTGTATTCTTTCTCTCTTTCTCCTGATCAAGAGAGGAGAAGTTATGTTTGCAGGTAAGAAGTGCTTTACTTTTTGACTTTCACAGGGAGCACCTCTGTCCTCTTCTTCTCACTTGTGTCTCTGTTACACTCTCTATACACCCCCTGTCACCTCTGTGTTGTCTACATTACCGACACACCCTCACCTGCCCACCTCCACCTGCTCCATCCTGTCTGTACCCGCCTGTGCTCCCTGCTGAGAGACTGAGAGTCTCCCTCTGCCCCCACAGATTGTCCTCGAGAGCGACATCAACCAGGATGGTTTGCTGGACTTCCAGGAGTTCTCCCAGTACCTGTGGGCTCACGAGAAGAGGCTGTGGCTCATGTTCCGCAGTCTTGACCGCAACAATGATGGTGTGACACCCACAACACACACACACACTTAAGATCACTATGAAGCACACATACAATACATTTATTTATCTCATCTATTTATTTATTTATTATCTGATATCATCGACTAAACAAACAGACAAAGGAGTTAACTCTATCTGTTCTGTTTTCAGGTCGGATTGATGTGGGGGAGATCCAGCACTCCCTGCACAGGCTTGGTGTGGAGGTCACCATGGAGCAGGCCTCCACAATACTGCAGAGGTACAGTGTGTGTGTGTGTGTGTGAGAGAGAGCACAATAAAGGACAAGGACATGTTACAGTCTCTTCAACAGCTCAAAAAGCATTCTTTTGTTATTTCTTATATGACATGATATTTGTATCTGTGATCGGTGTCAGCACCACCCCTTACCTCCTAGATCCCAAATGACTCTGACTTTAAGAAGACATCTAACAGGGAGTGGGACCCTTCTGGAGTCTATTTGATCCCTAATAGAAGTAACGTCACTCTGTAGGATAACTAACTGCACATTTCTTTATCTGGGGAATTACTTTTTGGCAAACGAAAGGAAAACATATTTCTTCGTCCATAAAACATTTGGTGTAATAACAATGCTTGAAGGTAATTGCTGTCTCTGTACAGGCAACATTATCCATATCACAAATATAAAATACAAATGTTACTTTGGAACTATTACTATTATTTTTACTCTGAGAACAGTGGGATCTGTGGGACCTCAAACAATGAGGGAGTAAAGTTAATGCCAACTACACACAAAAGAGTAAGATGTGACCACATGTATGTGTTATTGTGGGCCACAAAGTCAGTGTTGCACAGGTGTTTTCATCGATTTGCCTGATTAGCCTCTTTTGTCCACTCTGTGGCCGTGTACAGACTGTGCTTGATTAACATCTGTCTGACCCTCTTAGTTGTGTTGCATCTTTTAGGGTGGGAGGGGTTCGACCTTTATCTGCCCCACTGGTTCATGAAGTCTGGTGACCTCACATGATTTGAACCTGATCCAGAATAAGACTCACTGACAGGAGCATCAAAGACACGTACATTTGTTAGCCTACTCCTTTATTATGGTGTTGGATACACAATGGACACACAATGAAAGATAGACAAAAAATAAAAATAACCTGGAACATGACTTAAGGTTTAAACAGGTTCAAGCAGGTTTAAACTGATGAGCTGTTTTGAATGAAGCCTGAGAGAGAAGCTGCTCTCTGGTCCACACCAAACATCAGCTGTCAGAGACACAGGACTTAAATTGTGATGCTAGAAGTATGTGATCTGCTGATGGTACTGTACTGTAGGAGATCTCATTTTCTGGAGGAACTCTCTCTCTCTCAGTATGGACAGGGACGGCACAAAGACAATTGACTGGAATGAATGGCGTGATCACTTCCTGTTCAACCCTTTCCACAACATGGAGGAGATCGTCCACCACTGGAAACACTCCCATGTGAGTCATCAGGTTCCAGTTGATAATAATGACCGTATATGAGGTCTTTAGTGATGTGGTGTCTATGGTAGGAGGCAGTGCAGAAGATGAAGCAATGTCCTTCTTTAAAGGAACTTGTTCATTTAAAAAATATGGAGGCTTAAGGTTAAAAAACAAATACAGATGTCCCTTTCATTTCTGATGTGGTTATAGATGTTTGACATTGGGGAACATCTGACGGTACCAGATGAGTTCTCAGAGCGGGAGCGGAGGTCCGGTCTGGTGTGGAGGCAGCTGGTTGCTGGAGCGATGGCAGGGGCTGTGTCCCGGACAGGAACTGCTCCTCTGGACCGCGTCAAAGTCTTCCTGCAGGTGGGTCAGTGCACTTTCACTCTGACTGAGACACAATGTTCAGTGATGGAGGAACTTTTTAAGGATTGCAATTTAAACTATATATTATACATTGTGGATAATAGAGCCTGAAGAAATATATTATGAAATAACAATAGGAAAATTTGGACTAACCAAGGTGAGTTACCACATTACCAGCAGGAAATGCTCTTTAGTATATCCTTCACTCACAGATGCATTATGGTTTTTAATTCCTGTGGATAGCAGATATCAACTGTTAGTGAATGCAATGCTATGGCTTTCTTACAGAGTCTGCAGCTCATTCTATTCCTCAAATGCTGCTCTGACATTCACTTGCACTCACTTACAGAAACGAAACAAAGCACATGGTGGGTAGTTCAGGTGGGTGGTTGGGGCATTAGCAGTAAAACACAGAGCAAAGTCAGCTCTGCCTGTGTTCACAGCTTGAAATGTCAGCATCCATTTAGATAACAGAGGAATGACGGGAAGCACTGAAACCTCCTGATTTATTATGTAATTTTCGACAGAGAGCCAATGGAATATTACTAATTGATTAATGATTAAAGGGTTGAACCCACATATCCAATACTATCCAGTATAATGATTAGAATATTGAATGTGTCTTCACACTGCCATTATAGGTGTGGTTGTATTGAACTTGAAGAGTTAGTGTTAAAGTGAAGGGGTCACTGGTTTTCGGAGTTGTAACTTTATTGTTCTGGTTCACTCTCACCTGCTCAGCACCTGCTCAGCACAGCCAGAGACCAGCTGGTGAACATAGTGGAGCATGTAGCAGCTAAAGAGACAGATATTTTTGAAAACAGACAGCTGAAAGAGAATGAATTTTGGACTTCCATTCATCAGCTGGACAAAAACCCTACCCTATATGAATGAGAATGCTCTGTTTGTGTAAATAAGAAACTGTTGGCCAACATGTTAGCATACTGCTTAACCTTTCTACCGACAAAGTCTTCACCCACGGCAGTGGGGTTAGATATACACACTAGCCTACCGTAACATTTCAAACTTAGCGCAGGTTGTAATAAAGATGACTGATCTGTGTTTGTGTGTTTAGGTACATGGCTCTACGTCTCGGGCCATTAATCTGTGGTCCGGACTGAGGGGGATGGTCCAGGAGGGAGGCGTCTCCTCACTCTGGAGGGGAAATGGCATCAATGTCCTCAAGATTGCCCCTGAATCTGCCATTAAGTTTATGGCCTATGAACAGGTCAGTGCACTTCAATTAATCCACAACAAAGTGAAACTCTATCTGCTTAGATTGCTAGCAGACAGATTTGCTGCTGTGAAGTGTCCTTTTAAATCATCTTGTCATGTCAAATAGACATAATTGTTATTATGGCCAATGGTTCCTCTGTTTCAGATAAAGTGGATGAATCCTACACACATCATTTTCATATATGTCAGGGAAGTCTAATTCTGTGTATACCTTTACACTTCCTTTTTCTCATATTGCATTTTATCACTACCACTCCTTTGCTCTCTCCAAACATCTCCATCCATGGCTTCCCATCTTCCTGTTCCTTTTCTTACTCTAGATCAAGTGGCTGATCCGAGGAAGTAAAGAGGGGGCCGGTTTAAGGGTTCGAGAGAGGTTCATTGCTGGCTCTCTGGCAGGAGCTACCGCCCAGACCATCATCTACCCTATGGAGGTTAGTTTGAAGTGTGTAGTTGAACGGTTCATATTAAGATAGGGCAGACAGGTTCCACTGTTTCTGCAGTTGAACTGTTTGTATTGTACTCTGTTTTAAATACATGCAAATTAAATTATGGTTCACAAGCTCCTTTAAAGGATCACTTTGTTGGGACCATGTGGATGTGGTTTCACCATCAAGTTAGGCCTGCATGGCCTGCAGAGCAGTGAAAAGCCTGATTTGAGTTTAAGATAACACCAACCCCCGGGAACGTTTAGCTTAGTGTGTCTGGGGCATAATTGGGTCATATAGTGTGTTTATTACCTTCCTTTGTTTGTTTGCAACAAGTTACTGTATTGTTAACGTGTCATTGTGTATGTTCACGGACCGCAGAGTTAGTGCTGTGAAGAAACTACTGTTGTGTCCCATCTGAGGATCTGCCTTGGCCTTCTTTTTCTCCTCTTTGACTTTAACTTTAATAAACAACTGCCTGCTCTCTGAGAAAATGCAAGCATAATTTTACTTCTTCAGCTGTAAAACTTGTTAACCAAGGTTGATACCCAAACACCACTTAAGTATGTCCTGAGGACCGGGATGGACTGGCCATTGTGAAGACTCCCGAATGGCTGATTCATTCCAGGCCGAACCGGCCGGTGGTCATAGTGTTTATTTTTCACTTTCTTATGTCAGTAGTTACTCTTTGGTCATCGGCCATGGCATGAGCCAGCCTGGCAATCGCAACCACAGACAGCTGCCTTTCAAACTGGGCCAATCTGATACTTTCAATACTCGAGGGGTGTAGGTAGTCACTTTCATTGTGAACTTGACAAACTGTGACTAGTGTCTTGTTAAGATTCAATGTACAAACTGAGGAGGCAGGTGTCAGCGAGACATCCTAAAGTAAGTTTAAAGTCTTCAGCAGCATCAGATTCTCTTTCTACCAAAAAACTCTGTTAGTGTTAAAATTCCTGCCACCAAAAATTCTGGGCGCTCACATAAAAAACCTCCATCTCAAAGGCTGCATTTCTGTAGTGCATCCCTGCCTGAGCACTGGGTTTAGCATAACGGCCAAGCGGCTCTCTACTGTGCAGGTTTTGTGAATGATCAGGACACTGTCGTCCTACATTTGCTTTGGTAGCCGAGTCTCTTGAGCTGTGTTCTACATGAAACAGGAGTAGTCTTCTTTTAATAGAAGCAAGTACTGCAGCACAATGATAAAGCATAGAGATCAGATTCTACAAGTGCATCCACACTTTGTAAAATACAACATGCTGTTATGTTCAGAGGAATGACACTTATAGAACAAAATTTAGCAGACCAGACTCCCCCCAACTCTTCAGCACCCATCATCATAAAAGTCAACAATAGAAAAGAAAATGACTGAGGTAAAAATAAATAGGAATTAATACGCGGTGGGAAGGTGTGGAGAGGAGAAAGATCAGCTGGAGGAAACTATGGGAAATGGAAGCAACAAAAATTAGCTTTATCATCAGAGCTACTTATGATGTGCTTCCATCACCAAAGAATCTCCATCAGTGGTATGGTGAAGACCCAACCTGTGCCCTCTGCCCAACACCAGCGACTCTCAAACACATCATGGTAAGCTGCAAGACCAGCCTCACGCAAGGCAGATATACCTGGCGGCACAACCAGGTCCTCAAAAGCCTGGCATCAGCGATTAACATCAAGCGGTGTGCGACCAACTCCTTACCCCCAAGAGTAGCCAATCCCCTGAAGGCAACAGCATTTGTCCGAGAAGGACAAAAAGCCCCCAAACATCCTTCCACCAAGCGAGAAACAGGACAATTAATCATGGCCTGTGACTGGAAGATGCTGGTCGACATCGGCCAGCAATTGATCTTTCCTCCAGAGATTGCTGCCACCAACATCAGGCCAGACCTGGAACTCTGGTCCCCTTCACTGAAGACTGTGTAAATCATAGAGCTCACAGTCCCATGGGAGAACGTGTTTGAAGAGGCCTATGAACGTAAGAAGCTACGCTATGCAGAGCTTGCAGCAGAAGCAAAGCAGCATGGCTGGAACACAAAAAACTGTCCAGTGGAAGTGGGATGCAGAGGATTTGTGGCTTCTTCGACAATCAGACTGCTGAAAATGCTGGGAAGCCACAGTCGGGCTCTGCGGCAGACCATCCAAGGCAGTCTCAGAGGCGGCTGAAAGAAGCAGACAGTGGATTTGGATCAAGCGGAATGACCCATGCTGGGCTCCAAATAGGTCAGCATAACCCACTTGAGAATCCCCACCTGTTAACCATTCAAGCGTCTACCATTCTCAATGTTGTCAAGTTTGAGACAGTTGGGCACGGCACACAAGCTGAGGGCTAATCATCCTGCAGCTGGCCGCCCTTTGGGAGAGTGTATAGTGTTGAAAGGCCGAAACACTCAATGACACAAGGGAACATTACTGATGATGTGTTCTGGGCCCAACTGTCCCAAAATTCTACAACCTAAACCAAACCAAGATACACCCCACACAAGCTGGAAAACCCCCACTTGTAGATCGTCAACCACTCAAAACAAGGTTAATTTCCTGGAAGTGCTCACCACCTTGGCACAAAGGACAGACAAACATCATGTCCTGTGTTTTTTGATTCTAATATCAGAGGGCGAAGTTCTTAATTTATCACGTGATATACGTTCCTTCCCGATACCTAAACTTGCGAATTCTCCAGTACCGATCCAATACCAGAGTGCTAAAAGCAAAAAGAGTCACAGTTCCATCTTTAATATCTATTTCATATCGCTGTGAAACATCTTCATCAAAAAACTGGATTTATTCAGCTGTCTCGCCAAAAACAGAATTTTACATGCATCATAATGTAACTCAATGCAACCTCCGCCAACGTTAGCTATTAGCTCCAGAATTTTGACAAGCAGGATTCATCAGGATTTGTTGTTCGAAATGTAGCATCGTCAGAGAAAACTAGGCTGACGGTGTTTAACCACAGGTGTGTAGTACTTGTTTTTACTTGTGCAGTATCAATCGGACAGGATGTATGGATCGGGTATTGAGTGATGCGTGTTGTTGTTCCAGTGTAGAGTAAATGACCTGATAAATGATATAACATAATACCGGATCAGTGCATAGACTTCAGTACTCGCCGATACCCTGTCCAGCATTTTAGGCTGTATCGGTGGCATTTCGGATACTGATATCGGTATCTGAACAACTCTGACTCTCACCCATGCTCATCTTCTGCAGGGTGTCTGAGCTAACCAGCCTGGATGTTTGACAGGAGCTCAGAGTAGAACCTGCTGGTTTGAGTTGAGTTAATTCAGGAATCTGGAGGTTTTCTGAACATGTCTAACTGGAAGACGACCTAGAACATGCTGCAGGGATTACATTTAAACAATAGCTCACAACAGGCCAGGCCCTTCTGTGCTGGCTACCTGCACATACCGAGGCGGTTGCTTTTGCTTTTGCTTTTTTCATCACAGGCAAGGCAAGGCAAGTTGATTTGTACAGCACATTTCAACAACAAGGTAATTCAAAGTGCTTCACATAAAACCATTAAAAGCATCAAAACATAAGGCAAAAGAAAAGGAGATTTAAGAACATTCATTGAAACAATAAAAACAGTGTAAGAAATAAAATACAGGAGTGAAATGCAGGAAATTGAATCTGGTTCAATTAAAGGCAGCAGCAAAAAGAAAAGTCTTCAATCTTGATTTAAAGGAGCTGAGGGTCTCGGCAGACCTGCAGCTTTCTGGGACTTTGTTCCAGATATGTGGAGCAGAAAAACTGAACACTGCTTCTCCATGTTTAGTTCTGACTCTGGGAACAGAAAGTAGACCAGTCCAAGACGACCTAAGGGGTCGGGATGGTTCATAAGGTAGCAGCAGATCAGAGATGTATTTAGGCCCTAAACCATTCAGTGCTTTATAAACCAACAGCAGGATTTTAAAGTCAATTCTTTGTTTGACAGGAAGCCAGTGCAAAGACCTCAGAACTGGAGTAATGTGATCCACCCTCCTGGTCTTAGTGAGGACTCGAGCTGCAGCATTCTGAATCAGCTGCAGCTTTCTGACTGACTTTATACAGAGACCTGTAAACACACCGTTACAGTAGTCCAGTCTGCTGAAGATAAATGCATGGACAAGTTTTTCCAAATCCTGTTGAGACATAAGTCCTCTAATCCTTGATATATTCTTCAGGTGATAGGCTGATTTTGTAATTGTCTTGATATGGCTATTCAGGTTGAGGTCTGAATCCATAACTACACCCAGATTTCTGGCTTGGTTTGTGGGTTTTAACATCAGTGATTGAAGCTGAGCGGTGATTTTCAATCGTTCGTCCTTGGTACCAAAAACAATTACTTCTGTTTTATCTTTGTTTAATTGAAGAACATTCTGGCACATCCAGTTGTTGATTTGTTCAATGCAGTTACCCAGCCCTTGTATGGGATTATAGTCCCCTGGTGACATAGTTATGTAGATTTGTGTGTCGTCTGCATAATTATGATAACACACTTTGTTGTTTTCCATAATCTGAGCTAGTGGAAGCATGTAGATGTTGAACAGAAGAGGCCCCAGTATTGAACCTTGGGGAACACCACATGTCATTTTAGTCAGCTCTGATGTGTAATTAGCTACAGACACAAAGTATTCTCGGTCCTTCAAGTAGGATTCAAACCAGTTATGTGCTGTGCCAGAAAGTCCCACCCAGATTTTTAGTCTTTCTAGGAGTATGGCATGGTCGACCGTGTCGAATGCAGCACTGAGATCCAGTAATACTAAGGCTGAACTTCTGCCATTGTCTGTTTTTAAGTGGATGTCATTGAAAAACCTTAACAAGAGCAGTTTCAGTACTGTGATGCTGTCGAAAGCCTGACTGGAAGAGATCAAAGCAGTTATTTACGGCCAAGAATTTGTTCAGCTGTTGGAAAACCACTTTTTCAATTATTTTACTTAAAAATGGGAGGTTTGACATTGGCCTATCATTTTTCATTGTTGCGGAGTCTAAACTAGCCTTCTTTAGGAGCGGTTTAATAACTGCAGTTTTTAGGGCTTGTTGGAAGACACCTGAGAGAAGGGATGCGTTTACAATTTGTAAAAGATCAGTGGTCATGCAGTTTGAAATATTTTTGAAAAAGTGTGTTGGTAGAATATCCAAGCAGCAGGAGGATGACTTCAGATGTTGTATGTCTTCTAGGCTTCTACGGTCGATTGAATGCAATTGTGTCATGATATTTGAATGGATGTTATTTAGAGAAGGGGACAACACATATCCTGTGGTTGGTGTCGAGGCACTGACTGCTTGTCTAATTTTCTGAATTCTGTCAGTAAAAAAGGAGGCAAATTGATTGCATGCCCAGGTGGATTGGAGCTCAGCAGCTACCGACACTGGAGGGCTAGCGTTATATTGATATCTTTATTTGGCTCAACATCATATATGTTGCCATTTATTGTTCAACCAGTGAGAAACTATCCAGCGTCAGTAAGATGACTGTAATAACTGCTTCTACTAGGCTTGTCTTCATTTGTCAGGTGGAGGTGTGTTGCTTGGTGTGGCGAGGATGTCACTCCACTTTCTGTGGTTGTCAATGGCTCTAATCTCTCTGGTGTCAAAATCATCTGACTAATGGTGCTAATTTTGGTTTGCAATATTGGAATCCAGTAGTTCAAGTACTTACAAAGTATGTCGTTAGCGTGAAGCCTCACGTTTATTCTGGCAGCTCGTTCACTTCGCTCTGCAAGTCCCATGCCGAATTTCTAGACCAAAGTTGTAGAAGATCTCTGAGCCTAAGTCCCTGCGCATGCGTGTTCCAGCAGTAAACACACACTCGTATTTTTACAGAATGTACACTGCTCTCATTACGATGTCCTGGGAGCTTCTTGTTGGCAGCATAGTCAGCATTATGATGTTTTATATGAAAGATTAAATGCGTTCAATCACGTCTTCGTGTAGACCACATTTCACCGGCCAGCGTAATATGACTTTGGAAAATTGCATTCACAGTAACCAATATCATCTCTCTGTCAACCTACAACTGAACGAACATCAACATTTTAAAACAAATTGGTGTTGTGTGACACGTTGATGCTGTAACCACATTTTAGCCGGTTGAAAAGACGGTGAAAATAGGTCTTAGACGTTCAGACCCAATTTCAACCACTTTTCAATCAGAAACCAACGTTGAAATCACGGTTGGTGCTCACTGGGTTTCTTTGTAAATATAAGAATACAAAAACTAGTTCTTCCTCCTTCTCCAATGCCCAATTTCAGAAGAATCTCTTGTTCCTATATGTCCTCACTCTTCCATCGTCTTCAACCTTCCCCTGTCCCTCTCTCTTGGGTAGGTGCTGAAGACTCGTCTTACTTTAAGGACGACGGGACAATACTCAGGTATGGCTGATTGTGCCAGACAGATCCTGAAGAAGGAGGGAGTCCGGGCCTTCTACAGGGGCTACCTACCAAATACACTGGGCATCATCCCCTATGCTGGCATTGACTTGGCTGTGTATGAGGTGTGTGTACTTTTGCCTGTTTTTATTTTATAGGTAATGTAGCCACATTTCCACAATAAGTGAAGGGTGGTGGAAACTACACAAAATAATGTAAGGTCTAATTGTATTTAAAGAAATAAAAGAAGGTCTTTGAATTGATAATTGGTAATTAGATGGTTTGGTGAAAAATATCAAGCTCCAAGTAATAACTGATTATTCTATATTTTTTATTGTCAACAAATCCCATGAAAAACCAACAATCTATTAGTCTGTGTCTCAATACTTTTGGTCTCCCCGGCTAATGTCAGCGGCACTCAGTCCCAAGTCAGTCGATTGGTTCCCACTGAAGTCGTAAATCTATAACTATACAGGTTCATTTCTTTAAAGCTCAAGGTTTCCTAAAACTCTCTTTTGCTCATTCCTTTCATTCCCCCACTCTTCTCTCTATTTTTTTTAAACTCTATCTCACTGCTCATGATTTAAGACTCTGAAGAACGCCTGGCTCCAGAGGTACTGTGTAGGTTCAGCAGATCCAGGAGTGCTGGTGCTGCTGGGCTGTGGTACCATCTCCAGCACCTGCGGCCAGCTGGCATCCTATCCCCTTGCTCTCATTCGGACACGTATGCAGGCACAAGGTGAGACATACTGTCAGACATATTCTAAACATGCTGAGCATAAACAATGATCCAGCAATGACCTCCATATTTCCTCTTCTTTTAGCCATCACTGAGGATAAACCCAAACTGACCATGGTGGGCCAGTTCAAATACATCATATCCAATGAAGGGGTACCAGGCCTGTATCGCGGCATCACCCCCAACTTCCTCAAAGTGATTCCAGCTGTCAGCATCTCCTACGTGGTGTACGAGCACATGAAGAAAGTTCTCGGCATGAGTTACTAGACTGAGACAAAGAAGATGGATTAATAACAAGGACAGAAAAGGCAAAGGTTTCATTATGCTTGTAAGAGGAAGAGGAGAGGTCATGATGCTGCTCCTCAGTCCTCAACGGAAAAGAAAGGACGAGGAGATGGGAAGAGTGAGAACAACTGAGAGAACAGTTTTGAACTTTGGCAGAAAATATTGTGTCAATGTGAGAATCCATCATTCAGAGAAGGAGCTGAGAGATAAAATATGTTTTCAGGGGCTTCTAACTGGCTGCTTCAGGAGAATGTTTCAGATAGTGGGTGGTTTCCACTGCTGCCTCTGTTTGATTCCAGTGTGAACTGAGGTTGGTGGGAGCAGCAGGGGGCATCAACAATGGTAAATGGTTTTGTATAGTGCTTTTCTAGTCTTTCCGACATACTCGGAAGGGCTTTAACACTACTTGTCATTCACTTATTCACACACTGATGGATACAATGCCACCTAACATCAGACTAACTAACATTCATACAGGGAGCAATTTTGGGGTTAAGTGTCTTGCCCAAGGACTTGCTCATGCGACTAGCGGAGCCGGGGATCGAACCACCGATCCTCTGATTGAAGGACGACCCTGCTCTCTACTTAGCCACAGTTGCCCACAGTTTTTTTAATTACCTCCATGGTTCGCTATGTAACCATGGCAACAACAGAAACCACATCTAATTTTACTGGTTTAAGTTCCCTGAAGTCTTCACCTCAACTTGGAGCAGCACCAGCGTCGATGTGTGATTTTCCGCAAGGGCCAGTAAACAATATTTCTGATATTAGTTAGCTAAATGTAACATTAAGTTGTTGCTTACCCATCTGCCCTATTTGAAATTACAACCCACCATGTTTAGCTACGTGGTGAGACTAAAATCCAATCATGTGATCTACAGTAAAATATGAGCGCTGTTGTTCAAGGAAACGGAGCATTCTATTTTCATATGAAATAACCAACGGGTAAATTAAAATGGTTGAAAGTACTTTACTATCCAACACTTTTTCATGTAATAATAATACAAAATAACCCTTGTGTAAGAGCTAGTGGATAGTGACGATGACAAAATAATGTCGAGACATGAGACTGAAAACAATAAGTTGGAAAACGTAGGCTACAAGCTAATGCTCACAGTTGGTAAAAACGAGCTTAGTTGAGTTTCATATTAAATTGTATGGGGAAACAATAAACCTTCACACATACACTGCACTTGTTGCTCTGCTGCTCCAGAGTGTCCAGAGTACGCTGTGACTCTCTGAGAGTGCGGTATCTGAATAGCACACGCATACCAACAGCCCTCTGATAGTTACCAATGGACTAGTTTGTGCCAGAGTGCGCTCCGGCAATGTACACAAACATACCCTGCAGGTAGCAGATGGCGAAAACATGGAGGCTGTTGGTGGGGTTGACTCTAACCAGAGCCATCATTTAAAATAGAAAGTTGTAGCTAGTCAATTGTATTACAATACTTCCTGAATATTTCCTCAGGTACATGCACAACATATTCCCTTCTTCCTTTATACTTTCATTGGAGTACACTGTATTTTTCTGCTCAACAGGAATGAAGCCCAGACAGTTCAGCTTTAGAAACACAGTATTACTAAACCAGAAGGGACATTTATGTCCATGGAAGTTCTTTGACACAGTGATAGAAAGACATGGAATCTATCTACACTGGACTTTTCTAGAAACAACTTCAATGTGCTGAGGAGAGCGATTGTTTGGTGTGACAGTGCTGGCTAACTATGTTCAGTTCAATTCAATTTGTTTTTGTACAGCCCAAAATTACAAATTCTCCTCGCAGGGCTTTACAATCTGTACACATACGACGTCCTCTGTCCCGGAACCCTGACATCAGAACAGGAAGAACTCCCCCAAAAAAACCTTTAACTGGGAGAAAAGAGGGAGAGACCTTAGGGAGAGCAACAGAGGAGGGATCCCTCTATCAGGATGGACCAACGTGCAATAGATGTCATGTGTACAGAATGAACAGCATAACAGAGATGCAACACATTCAATGCATATGACAGAACCACGGCAGGAGGAAAGACCAGAGTCCAGATATAACCAGGATCCACGGACACCTGCGAGGCGAGAAAGCACAGAGACTCTGGTGAAGAAGCAAAGTCAGTAATGTGTGTTAATGGTGTCGTTAATATAGAATCAATTTTAAATTACAGCTGCGAGCAGCGATGAACGGGCCCTCGCATCCTCCAGCGCGTCGGGGGTGCCGGCGGGACTCTGGCCTGCACGTCCGAGAACGTCCGCGAACGTCGGACAGCGCGTCCGCGAGTGAGATGTTTTTAATCCCACATGGACCGCCTGATGGTGGAAATGATGCTTTGCAAATCGTCCGATGCTTCCTGTATCCGCTGCCTGGCGCTACAGAACACGTGCATTATGTAGCTCTATATCAAGTTTAAACCACATTGTGTAAAAGTCATGTAAATCGGATGGTGTTTGTCAAAAAACTCAGATTTCCTTTCGCCAGCAGGTGGCGCTGTGAGTATTAGGGAAAATTAGCTTGTAGACATCCTCAGGCCATGAGTGTTATCAAGCATGTGAAGTTTGGGACCGTTTGGAACAAGTCCAGCTGCGTTACATCAGACATTTCCTTTAGCCAGTAGGCTTCGCGGGTTTATTGTAGTGCCCCCTAGTGGTCGAATGCAAAGAAATTCTCAGGGTATGTTATTGGATGCGATGTGCACATATGCTGAATATTTTGGGAATTTAGAAAAAATGGTTGAGAGGTTATGTGTATTGATATTTTGCCACGCCCCTAAGAAGTGTATTGGTCCATATCTTGTAAACGCAAAGAGATATCAAAAAGCTTTTGATAACTTTTGATGATCTAGATCCAATTATGATCCACAGTAAATTTCGTAGAAATCGGACCCATCGTGTAGGAGTTCGCAAAAATGTGTTTTTTTCACTAAATTCAAAATGGCTGACTTCCGGTTGGGTTTAGAGCTTAGAGCTCAAGGGGCTTTTTTGTAAGTCTACATGTGATACATCTGTTTACCAAATGTTATACATCTAAATTTTATATATAGATAGTGAAACGTACTGCGAGGGCTGCATCGTCGAAATATTGTATATATTCATACAAAATTGAAAATGGCCGACTTTCTGTAGGGTTTGGAGCATGGTCCCAAGAGACTTTTCTTTAAGTCTCTATAGGACACATGTGCCTACCAAGCTTCATATATGTAGCCAAAACGTAGCGCTGGGGCTGCTCTTTTGAAATATTGTAGGGGGTGCTATAGAGGCAATTTAAAACTGCCAATTAAGAAAATCATATAAACTATTTCTTCATATGACCTGTGACAAAGTTCCATGAGTTTTTGAGCATCCCAACTCACTAAACCATTAGCTTCCTTTTTCATGGCGAACGATGCGTCGCCACGGCAACAGTGTTCAACAAAAACTCACAAAATTTTCATGATGATGCATCATCAATGTCTTAAGGCTATCCTTAACAAATGTGAGACTCATCAAGTCACCTGGCTAGGAGGTATAAATAAAAGTATAGAATATGACATTTCCTTTAGCCAGTAGGTGGCGCTATGAGTTATTGAATTGTTTTCAATTGAAGTATGTTTAGGCTTGAAGTAGCATCATGCATAATAAGTATTGTGCAGATTGGATAATGTACCTTGGAGTTATAACAACTTATAAGAACTTATTTTTTCATAAACAATGAGGCAAAATGGCCGCCACGCCACGTCAAGGTTCTTCAATGAAAACTCTTGATTTTGATAACTTTTAATCACAAAGGTCTTAAGAGCATCCTGACCAAAGTAGAAGTTGATCGCTTAAAATCTCTAGGAGTTCGTTAACGTGTGAAGGCTGAAAAATGCAAAAAGTGACAATAAAGCACAACTTCGCGGGCTTACTGTAGCGCCCCCTAGTGGTTGAATGCAAAACAATTCTCAGGGTATGTTACAGGATACGATGTGCACATATGCTGAAAGTTTTGTAATTTTAGGACAAACGGTTGAGAAGTTGTGTATTGATATTAAGCCACGCCCCTAAGAAGTTTATTGGTTCATATCGTGTAAACGAAAAGAGTTATCAAAAAGCTTTTGATAGCTTTTGATGACGTATATCAAGTAATGATTCACAGCCAATTTGGTAGTAATCGGACCCAGCAAGGAGGAGTTCGCAAAAATATGTTTTACACTAAATTCAATATGGCGGAAAATCTAAGTAGGCGGAGCTTAGGGGTCTGATTGGCTTTTTTGTAGATCTAGCTCAAGTGGACATGTGTGTTGAATTTCAAGTAAATCGGACATACTGGCCGAGGGGCGTCGCCAGTCCGACTTGTAGGGGGCGCTAGAGAGCCATTTTTTTACACAGAAAGATGCATTCTTTTTCAGATGGCTACTTTTACCAGGCTTTTCCTAATGATTCAGAGGTTTGAGGTGGAGGAGCGAATGTATGCATTGCTTGCTTAAAAAGACTCAGAGTACAGGGGGGTAATTGTTACCCATGGTTTGAGGTGCGAGTAAGTGGACTCTAGTTCCATGGCGGTGGACGGTGGTATCTGCAAAGAGGCTGAAAACTTCTTTCAGAATGATGATCTTCATGGGTTGTTCTGCTCTCGGCTATCTCTACTGATATCATGAACCTCGTCATAGTTTAACGTTTCATTCACCACTAAGATCAGTCTCCAGACTAACTGAACTGTTGTCTTTGTCCAACTTAATCTTAGTTTGAATAAAAGTTCAGACCTTCTCACCACGTCTTCATCAGCAGATGCAGTTTGCTCAGTTGTCATAGAGATGGATCCGTTGACATCGTGCTCAGCAGCTGTAATGATTTCCTCCTCAGCACCGTTAGAACTTCTCGTCCATTCTGGCTGACATGTAAAAGTTGCCCTCTGGAGTTTTCTTGCAAATAAACAAAAGTTATGTTTACCTTTATTAACCGTTAAGCATCAAAGTTAAGTTTAAACCTTGGGAATTGAAAAACTATATTTTTCTAGAGCTTCCATTCATACGACAACTTGTACAACTGAGAAAACTGAATGCTCTGAAAAACTTATGAGAGGGCCGAAAACCGGTCAGATATCACTTGTCAGCTTGTTGTATATCAGCTGTTCCCAGGACCACAAAGATTTAGACCACATTTTCCAACACTAACGCCAGAATAATTGGTTGAAGGTATTTTCATGAGGTGGAGAATTACTCTCAAATGATCTAAATAATAACCCTATCTGGAAGCTAATTAAGAGCCGAAGCTAACCTTCATGTAGTTCTGTGAGATCACATTGGCCAGGTGGACAGGCAGCTGATTGGTACAGTGGTGACTTACTGGGAAATTAGTCGGTTCTCTGGGCAGATTGTTAGGCACCTGAATGCAAGGCAGCAGCACTAATCATGTCAAACAATCAAAATTAATGTTTGGGAATTTCTTCAAATTTGGCACAAACAAGGATGAGCTGATTAATATTGACTTGTCAACGGTCACTTTGACCTCACAAACACGTTTTTGGCTATTACTTTTTATAGTAATCATGACAATTTCACAAATTCCCTCCTCTGCCCACTCCAGTATTTTTTGTACACTCCCTCAGTAGACCTTGATTTGGGATTATTTTGTCCAAACTAACATTTCTAAGATCAAGAATGAACTTTCACATTAAACTTTAGCTTAACTGTAATTTATCAAACCATAAAATAGCATTTGTTCTGTTGTAGAAAGCAGTGAATGGATTGTTCTCATTATAGGGACTCATAGTGACTCATAGTGTGCACCAGATCAAACCTCCAGATTAAACCAGAGTGAACACATTCTTCTGCTGGTTTATTGCCTGTGTCTGCCCATTTTCTGCCATGAAACTAGAGGCCAGTGTGTGGTTGGTGTATTATGGAACATTTATAATGAGATGATTTATCATCCCAAATATTCAAAACCATCTGATTTTCTGACTTGCAATATATTTTATAAACTCAAAATCTATTTTTTATACCTTGTTCCCTGCACTGGAGCTTCAGCCAAACACCTAAACCTTTGCTGCAAGTGTCAGAATATTAACCGTTGAATCAACAGTAATTTTAATAAAAGAGAAAAGAGGGAAATTATTGAGTCTGTAACTGTGCATGATTTATTTTAGCAAATTTAGGTATAACTTGAATATGAGCCGCACAAAAATGTTCAGTAGTTTGTTGGTGCTATTTTGAAGCAGCAAGTAAATGGGCCATTGATACACTCCCATACACTTTGAATGTCATCATCTTTATTATTTTTATGAATGCTTAATTCTCTGATTTTCCTCCCTTGCAAGAGTACTTGAAATAATAAATGCTTGTTGCCACTGGGGCCTTGCAAGCATGACATACAATATTTGTAAAGCATGAGTTCATGTTTCCATGCCTGTTGTGAAAGTGTAGCTTTATTGTGTGCGGACTGTATTGCCTTTCTTCTATGAGCTTTTTCCACCCAAATGACAGAGATGTTGTAATTTGAAGTCAATTACACAAAAATAACTTTCTAGTTTTGGTAAATCAGTTATGTCAGTAGACACTGTATGTGCACTTTACATGCCTCAGTGGTAGAATAAATTCTGACATTGTACAAAGAAGAGGGCTGTAACTGTGGTCCATCTATGAAGCATAATTCATTTTCCATTGTTCACGTTGTATAATGAACAACGTCAGTTTAGGGGCATTTCCTAATATCATTGGTCTACTTGTGTTCATGTAAATGTATCTGACGTGTGAGTTCGTTGTTCAATAGTCCATGGTGTACCGGTCTCTGCTGGAGGATCTGGGTCTGTCCACGGTGGAGCGGTCTCTGCTGGAGGATCTGGGTCTGTCCACGGTGGACCGGTCTCTGCTGGAGGAT